CGGCAGCGTAGCGTGACATGCTGCCGTTGCGGACCGCTGCACACGCCTTCTCGGCCGCTGCGGAGTCCACTCTACTCCGACCCATGCTTAGCAGGAAAGCGGACAAATGTGCTAGTCTACGCAGAATCATCCGTGCTGGTGCATCCGGTGCTGTAGCTCGTGGTGGAATGGTCGGATCATCGCGCTGAGGTGCGCAAACAAAAGCTAACGCTTTCGCGAGAAATTCAAAAAAAAAATTGAGGGGGACGGCAGATTTTGCACCCAGATATGCCCATTTGAAAAAAGTGGTCCTTATAGGGGGGGTGGTCCTTAATACCCGCCCTTACTCTAGACCTATGTTTCGACCTGAAGTCCCCAGCTACGGTAGCTACGTGCAAGGCTTGTGACGCTAAACAGGCGGCTACTTGCCTTACTTGGGTGCCATCCCCTAGTGCTGGATCAACAGCGGCCACTGCATCAATTGTGCGGGTACTTGACTTCGGGACTCCTCGCGTTTGCTTGCTGCTACAACCTTCGCGAGAATGTTCTCGTGGTACATGTACTTCAACTGTCTTTCTACAGCGCTGCTCTTTGACTCCTTTTCTGGTTGTTCCCACCAGAGATCGTACACCATTGTTTCAGTGTTTGGAATCCCTCTCATCTACTCTGGCTCTTTTCTGCTTGCTCGTGTTTTGCAGACTTTCCCAGTTTGTACGTACTGGTTTGACAGAACCAATTGATTGGTGTCCCACGTTGGCCGAGGGACGCTGCCTACTCGGGCGACCCTAGTTCTTTGTGACTGTGTACCCCTCGTTCTTGGCTTCCTGTTCATTTTTGTACTCTGCAAGGGTGTGCGTAAAGCGAATGTTACTGAAACGACAACCAATAAAGTCACATTCCTTCTTATGGTTTACGGTGTCGGGCTTAGCAGTACCAGCGAAGGATACTTTCGCCTTCGCCCGCGCGGGAGGACCCCGGGATTTGGAATTATTCTTATCACGTTGGTCGGTCCCCCGCTGAGCACGCCCACGTTGCGCGCCGTATGCTCCACCACTGGACACGAACGCTTCCTGCCCTGAAATATAGTTTTCAATGGCAGTGATGCGGTCCTTGTTGTCGTCCGCCGTACTTTGGAGCTGCCCGGGAGGAGCAGAGCCGTATACGGTCGAGGCGGTAGCCGAGATGGGGGCAGGGGGCGAGCGCAGTTTATTGGACTCGTGTCTACGAGCACGCGCTTTCGATTCCATGAAAGAATCGGATGGGTCTGCCCGCATCATTTCTACGCGAATGTGGGGGTGCACACCGTTTTCGAAAGATGCAGTGAGTGCTTGATTGCAAGCGTGTTCATGAGGTGGTACATTCAGCGGAGCTGTGCGTTCGGCTTCGGCTAGAAGTCTGGCATAGGCGCGTGATACTCTGAGCGCAAACATGTCAACTGATTCGCTAGTCTTCGCTTCTAATGTCATGACGTCATGTGCAAGAAGAGCAATTCGGTTGGCGGGAGCGAACGATGTGGTGAAGGCCGTGACCCATTCCTTCCATGTTTTCGGAGGTGTGATTCGGACTACTTCCCCACGTGCACGCAACGCATTTAGCTGAGCTGGCGGTCGCCATTCGAGAGATGAGCTAAGCATGAGGCTGAGACTTTGAGCTGCGGCACCTCGCACGAAGAGCGCGAGATGTTTAATTGCGCGGTGATCGATTGTGCTTTGAGAGACGTTGTCTTCAGACAACATACCGATGTGTGCCCTGTAAAGTGCCATTTTTTCGGGAACATCTTCGTGAGGCAGACCCTCGAGCTTAAGGTCAGGAGGTAGGTCAGTAGCTTTCAAAGTAAATCCCGCCGTGGTAATCACGTCCTGGTTAACCGTGGTCTGGGTTACCGGGGTAGGGTTGTCCTGGTTACCGTTTGCTGGTTTACCTGGTTCGGTGAGGCCTGGTTTACCGTGTTGTGGTGTACCGGGTAATAGGCGAAATTGTCGGTGTAGACATATTCCTAGCAGGGGTCTGTTGAACACTTGCTGTCGTGTGCATGCCAGAGCGATTGTCTGCTTCTAGATCGGGGGCAAGCGAACGCGGATTCACCTTCTGGATGTCTTGCTGGTGAGCGGCTCCCGGCATAAGCATGCTAAGGACCCATGCCGGCGGGGCCTTCTCCGCCTCCACTGCCTTTGACACCGCGCTGACGAGGACGGCCTCCAGCGGTCCGCCGCGTGCCAGGAGCGGTGAGCTCTGCTGACTAGCGGCGTCGGCGCGGTTCTGCAGGATGTCGTGCGCAAGGTCGTCGCCGACGTTGTCGCCATCGTCATCCTCAGGGGTTGGGTCGGTGTCGAGGTTGCCCGCCTCGGCGCCATCGCTTGTGCTGCTGTTATTGTCGCTGTCGCGACCCTCACCAACCAGTGCGTGAAAATATCCGCGGTGGTGACCGCTCTGCGAGGGTGCTACGCTCGCAGACGGCCCGCCGGATTCTCCCGTTTGGGTAGGCTTAGGCTGTCCCTCTTGGGGCTTAGCTGAGCCGTGGTTGGTGTTAGCAGTAGCGTCGGGACGTGGCGTGGCTGGCGGTTTGGGTGTCGTCAGCTGCTTAAACTTTTTCGGCTGTTGCTGCTGTTGATGTGACCCTACGTCCTTGTTCTTTCTTTGCTTCCTTGGATTGCCCATGTTTCACACGTGGGTTTCAAAGATGCAAAGATAGAACGCTTCGTCGAACGCCAATATGGATGCCCTCTACTCTGGGTGAGCGGAGAGTCCGGGGTAGTGGTGGCTATGTCCTGCCACCGGAGGTTGGCTATTTCCTTTGGTGCAATGTGGCGAGGAATGCCAAGCGTGACCGAGCGAACTCAGTCAAGTTAGGGTGGTGCGGAGAGTGGGCGAGCCTTCGTGGACTCCTTTTCCCATTTTCCTAACGATCCATCAACTAATCACAGCCGTTGGGGGTCATAAGAGTTGGGGACCCTCGGAGAACAGTAATCCATTATCACTTGTTCCCTCAGATCCTACTCTTTATATACGTGTATCTGTGCTCCCTGAATCTCCATATCCTGACCTCCACACTACAAGACAAATGAAAGTACCCAAAGGGAAGACATGTCGGACGGTGCAACGACGTCTTTACAAAAAACGTGGAAACAAAGGGGAGGAGGGGGGCATGACGCATTACTGCCGTAGCCCGTACGCCCAAAAAAATCACAACCGCTACAAGAAAAAAAAACACCCAAAGAGAAGGCATGTCGGACGGTGCAAACAACGTCTTTACAAAAAAACTTGGGCACAAGGGGACAGAGGGGGAGAGGGCATGACAAGCATGGCTGCCATAACCCGTACACAAAAAACACACACACACACACTCTCTAAATTATCACGTGTCCAGCCGCGCTAGCAACGGGACGTGCCGCTCTCGCACCAACACCACCCCTCTTCCGCGGCCCGGTGAATCCCGGGAGGGCGGACCGTGTTGCAGACCGTGTTGCGCCCAAGACGACGGGGGNGGTTCGGAGGTCAGGGTCCTCGCTGCTGCATGGCCTTCCGATCAAACAGAATGTCAGGAGATACTGGTGCATCCACTTGTTGGGCCTCTGCGGAAACCCGCCCTCTTCTCGTGTGATTTCTTCGGAGGGGGCATTATCCCCGTTGCCCGGCGTATCGTCTTCTGGCTCCTTCTTCATCCCCCTCTCCCCCGCCGGTGAGTCATCACCGCTGCTTTCCTGTGGCTCCACTGCTTCCTCCGTTCCTTTCTGCTTTCCACTCCCGCCGTCCTCGCTTTCCGTCGGTGACGATTCCCCAGAGTCATCTTCCCAACCCTCTCCCTCACCGCCACCCCTCTCTTCCAACTCGATCGGGTCCTCTGCGCCCCCCGTTCCGGATTCCATGTGGTAGACTTCGTCCAGAAGGTACTCGATGGCGTCTTCGTCTTGGCTGCCGGACGGTAGTTGGTACCCACGTTGTCCTTCGACGAAACTGGGCCAGGGGTGCACGGGAACAAGGTAGAGAGAGGTAGGAAGAACGGGTGAGATTGGCAGCGATCGTAACGCACTCTCGCTCGTGTGTACGCGCAAAGGTGACACATATTTCGAATGTTGACGGGCAGCGGTTCACACCCATGTCGCAACTGGTCCTACTATTTTCGATCGGTTTTCTTCTATTCGACTTATTTCGAAGGGCCGTGGCGCGGAAACTATGTCAACAATACACACCACTGNTGGTCGTGTGTACGCGCAAAGGTGACACATATTTCGAATGTTGACGGGCAGCAGTTCACACCCATGTCGCAACTGGTCTTACTATTTTCGATCGGTTTTCTTCTATCCAACGTATTTCGAAGGGCCGTGGCGCGGAAACTATGTCAACAATACACACCACTGTATATTTCGCTGAGGTTTAGAATATTGTGCCGGGAGTCATGCCAATCGGCCAAAGCGACACAGCACCGGTGTGCCACATGCACATGAGTTCCGTCACCGTTTTAGAGTAGGCCGACCAGGGAGAGGGTCACCGTACCGAGAGCAAAACGACACACTGCGAAAAGCACAAGGGTTTGTGACCACAGTTTTGACTTGGTGCGGACAGTGCAACAATAAATCTGACATGAGTGTATCGTTGTGTATTGTGTGTCTCACCGCGACAACTTGCATGCGTAGTTTAGATGATCGGGGGGATAAACGGTGGGGGATGGCTCTACTATATTTACTTCGCAACATGTTGTATGCCCTGGGGCCACCTATCTCTAAAGCTGTTCCCACCCGTAGTGTTATGTTGCTTTTTTGAAGGGGGAGGGGGGAAACGCCAGCAAGTTGCCGCCAAAGGCAGCTCGTAACGCGATTGGGCATTTGTTCAACACTGCTGTTGTCCGCGTAGTACATGTATGGTGATCGGGGCACGTGACATTTCGAAATTTGAATGTAGTGCGGCAATTCCCATTGGTGTGCGGACAAAAAACAAGGACATCAAACCGCTAGGCACCGCGTTCGATGCTCACGACAACACACCAGACACGGGCGCATGTGGGTGTTTTCTACAGAAACATACGCAACATCACTGATTATTACTCTCGTAAAACCGACTACTATTCTTGAGAGCAAATCTGTTCAATATCCTCCGTGTTCCTTCGTGTTCGGCCTCGCTTCTTCATTTACTATTTCCTACGGGAGTTGTTCGTCGGTGCTTCTGTGGCGGAAGAGACGTGCACTACTCACCGCAGTAGTAGTCACGCCGCCGACACCAACCATGTTTTCGGGAGGGCGTGGTTGCAGTCGACTGCTCGTTCACAGCAGTGCACGCCACAAGAGCACAGGAAAATACCCTACAGTGTAACACGGAACAAAAAAAATTGCAGCGCGGCAGCTGTACTGATGTCGCTCCAAGCACGTACACGAACACGATCACAGACAGACACACCTGTCCCACACGGGGTTGTAGTATTTCTTGATTTCGCGCAGGATTTTGTCGAGCCGCTTCCACAATTTTTCGCCGTCGGTGAAGAGGGCCGCGCCTGCGTCACAGTAACATGGGGTAGGCAAGTCGAACAGCAGTCGAATAGCAGTAGCAGTTAATGGTCAGCAGTAGCAGCAAATCAAACATTTGCAATGATCTATCCGAAACATACCTACTGCTGGATGACGTGCTGTAGACTACAAACATTGCTTTCCATGCCTCTCAATAAGACTACCACAAATGACACAAGATACCACACCCCTGGACCGATTTTCAAAGGCCCATTCCTCAACAGCAAAAGGAGTCACAGTGACAACAATGGCGGCGTTGAAGCTGTCTCATCGAGAGCTTTCCGAAAATGCACCGTTCCGTTCGTGCATCCTCTTTGTCGTGGAGTAATCGAGCTTTGAATATCGGTCAAGGGGGTGTGGTATCTTGTGTCATTTACGGTGCTGCTCCAGGAAATGGGCGGGCCTCGGTTGCCATACAACTGAGGCTCGAAAGGCTACGAACAGACTGGTACACTGGTGTCGGGTTGCATCCTGTGGTTGCCGCTCAAATGACGGGCGGTGACAAGGTATCCTACAGCAGCATGTTGGTTCCTCTTGCTGCTGCAGCAGCCCATCGTGGCCTGACTGCAACCTAAAAACTTTTGGCCGGACCATATACCCCACACCCTACGCAGAGCATTTCATTTTCAACAGGACATCATGAAGACGCAGAGGGTCAGGTACACACTCGCACCCAGTCCCTCTCCTTCAAGACGGNGCTGCTCCAGGAAATGGGCGGGCCTCGGTTGCCATACAACTGAGGCTCGAAAGGCTACGCACAGACTGGTACACTGGGGTCGGGTTGCATCCTGTGGTTGCCGCTCAAATGATGGGCGGTGACAAGGTATCCTACAGCAGCATGTTGGTTCCTCCTGCTGCTGCAGCAGCGCCCGTCGTGGCCTGACTGCAACCTACAAACAAACTTTGGCCGGACCATACACCTTACACCCTACGTAGAGCATGTCNTCCGTGTTGGTTGTGTCTTGCCTCCCTCCATGGACGTCTTCCATGACCTCGAACGTGAGCCACGGCTGCAAGGAGAAGAAATCCTCCTTGTCCAAGTGGTTCCTGGAGCCACTTGAAGAAGCCAGGGACAGCGATGTCCTTGTACCCCTGCACCGCTGCCGCATGCTTGGCCTGTGTGGAGACAATCCCGGCGTTGCGCTTGACCGCCAAGCACGCGTACACGATGCACACGTTCTGGAGGTGCTTCAGCAACTTGGCGTCCGTCAGGCCGGAGCTCCTGTCCCGCAGCATCGAAATCACTGTCTCGGCGTACGAGTTGAACTCCAGCGAGAGAGACTGTACGCCATCTAGTTTCATAGCATCCATGGTCTGCTTTACGGGATGTGGCTGTGTGCAGAGGAGCTGGTGCAGAGGGGCGTTGTGTTTCGTGCTGTGCGCGGTCTGTGGCGTGGGTGCAGGCGGAAATTCAAAAATCAGTTTTCTCCGGCACACCGAACGCTGGTGAAAATCATCATGAAACCCCACCTTCAGAAAAAGACGTCGTAACACAGGGGTCATCTTTTGTTGTTTTCATTTTTTGGGTCGTCTCTTTGTTGAAAAAAAGACAGCCTAAAAAAAGACATCGTAACAAATGGCCTGTGATGAGGCTGAGTCTTACGGCGTGATTATTTCCGGATTGGATTTGGGGGGGGGGGCCTTTTCTGAGCCAAAAAAATAATTTGGGCGTCTTGAGTCGTGAGAATATTGTCTCTAGAAACGCGGCGGAACCTTCTGATGATGTCAAAATTTCCCGAGATGTCAGACCAGTGCTTATGGGAACCAATCTCAATTTTTTTTTTCAACCAATCTCGCTGAGCAGAGGATAAAGGGGCACCGTGGGGAAAAGAACATTACTCTTGTACATGCCTATAAGGGCAAAAAATCACCAATCCCAAAAGAAGACGGGTAGGGGTGATTTCAAATTCAAAAAATGCAGCTACAGCTCCCCGCTGAAAGTCCCGCTGAGCCATCTCCGTTGTCGGACCACGATGTTTGATATACTCGTAGCATAGGAATGTGATTGAATATGGGACATGAATCTACGGAGATTGCAGTTGGTAGATCGCGGAGGAACAGGGAGTTTCTGCTTGGTTTCTTCGGAGATTCGATGAGTGATCTAAATTGCGTGACGGATAGGTGTGGTGACACACTCTTCGTCTGCTCGGCCTCGAGTGGTCTCTGCCCTTCCCTCTTTCCTCTAATACAAGACTTTCCCATCTCGGCCCTCACTGGCCGAGCTGCCTTTCTCCACAAACCTACAAGCTTCGGCCTACCCGGTTTATCCAACACGCTAGCGTTAACGACTTTGTCGAGGGTGATTGGGTAGCGCCGATGGGCAGCCGCATGCATGTGCGGCTGACGACACCCAACCACACGAAGAGGCCACCAACGGCGAGGGCCTGCACAGCAGCAGCAACCCCAAGACCTACAGCAACGCCATCGTCAGCTGCAGCCCGCCGTCTACTTGGGTAGTAGACTAGGCCCGCTCAGGCACGTGATGACTTTTCAGTTTCCTACTGGACTGTTGTTGGTATCAACACACCCATTGCGGTGATGCGGTAACTTTTGTTGCAGATGAAAATTCCACAATACAGCAGTAGCACAGACGAAATACTGATTTCCGAAGATTGTTTCACTTTGTCTTGAGGTTGCNCTATTTTGCAACAGAGGACTAATCAACCTCCGTTTCAGGATGATATTCACCTATTTATGGCGTGGCGATATCGCATCGGCAATCAATTTCAGACAAACCATTCCACAAGTAGGGTCCGACGACTTGAACGTGTGTTTTCATTTATTGTTTTTTCTGCTGCGTGCAGTCACTACTTTGCAGAACCGGGGGGAATGTTTGTATGTTTGTGATTCTCCTCAGTAGTGCTGGTTTGTTCGGAACTAATCTGCCGCCATCATCCCCTCCGAACGCGCGACCTGCCCTGCACCACTGCCGAGTCAATCCTCTCGGAGCGACAATTGTTCTTCCCCCAAGTCAGGCGGACGCAAACATCGAAGCTCGAGCCGCGGCCAGCCGAAAAAGATGGCGGAAGGCGACCGCGGCGGAGACGTGCGAATTATCCGCGGGGGGGAAAACAATGGCTTGGGCAATGGG